AATAATACATATGAATACGTTTAAATGAAAAAATATGTTAAATATATTTTTAAAGGGTGAAGGTAGAGAAGATGATGATGATTTAATCATTGAAATCATGAATGTCTGCTTGTATTCTCACTTTGTATATTGTCATTTCACATTTGTTATTATTGTCTTAAATTCAAATATTAAACACCGAACAATTTAAAAGAAGTTGTCTATTTTTAAAATTGTTTATATATAGTGATTTTACGTCATGAACTATCAATATTATCATTAAATTCTCAGTTTTTTTGCTTATCATTTCCAATTTGTAAGCGAACATTTCTTATATATATTTTCTTGAATTGAGTTTGGGTCAGCAACTAGGATCATATTAAGATTATGATTGAGTCTACTACTACATGTATTAGTGTGTGAATGTCTATGTCTTATGTGTAACTATTTGAATTACCAACATGTGTGTTGCCCTTTTTCATTACTTTATTTTTGTGGTTTTTTGGAAACATAACAAATGTAGTGTGATAAAACAAAATAGGTTATATTGCTTTTTATTAAACAATATATTGTAATTAATACTTTTGAATTTTGATATGTGTTACCTATGTAGATGTTTGTAGTGGATCTGTTGGATTTGAAAAGAAATCCTTCTGCCTTAAACAAATTTGTATACAAAGTGATAAATCATTCTACCTTAAACTATTTATAAATAATTTTACAAATAGGCAACTTTTTTAAATCAGTAAGTGTTAATATTATGAATTTTAAAAATAATAACAAATATGAAATGACTATATACAAAGTGAGAATATACAAACAAACATTCATGATTTCAATGCTTAAAGCATCATCATCTCATCCACCTGCACACTTAAAAAATGTCTTTAATATTCGTTTTTCATTTAAAGTGTATTTATATGTATTATTAACAATATTAATAATAACGAATTTTAAAAACAATATACTTATTTATATTTTTAATATAATAATAATAATAATAATAATAATAATAATAATAATAATAATAATAATAATAATTAAGTTTTTGTTTGCAGAAAAGTCATAATATTTTTGTTTGCGGAAAAGTCTCAATATGTTGGGTCAGTTTACGAAATAGTCCCAAATTAATTTGTTAGTGGTTCCAACCGGTTAAAAAGGGTTAAAATGTAAACTTTTGCCGGTTTTTAAGATTTTTTCGTAAAAAGAATTTAATTTAGGACTGAAATGTAAACTGGACCAAAATTTTGGGACTTTATTGGAGATTTCCCTATAATATCTATATATACTTATAAAAAGATGCATTTTTACTTACCACATTCATTTAAAATCTCCATCACTTTTCAATTTATTTCTAATAAAATCCCCATGACTTTTTAATTTCTTTCTAATAATTATTATAAATGAGTTAATAATGTTAAATTAATGCAAAAACAAAATTCTAATCATAAATTAACTAAACTACAACATTAAAATATTATATTTTATTTATATTTATAAAATTATGACTTTAACTTTTTAACATATTATAGTTAACTTATTAGTTTAAATATGTGAGTAATTGTCATTTTAAAGTCACAACTGTTGTATAATTTATGATTTTATGCAAAATAGTTAAATTATTAATTACAATATAATGTTAAAAGGTTAACTTAAATCAAAAGTTCAGTTAAACTTGAAAAAATCGAGAGACTATTTTATAAATAGTTAAAAGTTATAAATTATAGTGTTAAACCTAAATTAACAACAAAAGAAAATCCATAAAACTATTTTTTATAATCATTAAGAATTTTTAAATAAGTAGCTTAAAAATAACTTACAATAAGAATAGTTAAAATAATATAGATAAAAAAATATATTATATTTCAAAGCAAAAAACAATGTTTGTTGTTTTAAATAATTACAATAAAAGAACTTAAACCATTAATCAATATATATATATATATATATATATATATATATATATATATATATATATATTTTCTGAAACCAAATTAAAACAATTAAGAGTTTCCAAATACGTTATTTTAAATAACTTACAACAACAATAGTTAAAAGTAACATTATATACGAAAAAAATATTTTGTTAACTTTAAAAACAAAAACAATTTTTGATATTTTAAATAATTACAATGATAGAAATTAAAGTTTTCAGGAAATAAACAGTTTTAAAATTAATCAATCATAACAACAACTATAAAGTATTATATTTAATTTTATTTATGAGTAATTTGCAGGTAGAGACCATTGAGACAATTATGATTATATAATTTTAAAACATGTCTACATTATTATATAATTCTAAACAAACAATGTTTATACCAACTTATTGTAAAAGATGTCTACATTATCACATAATTCAAAACAAACAATGTTTATACCAACTTATTGTAAGATTTATTATATAAGAGGTAACACCAACGTCATTAATATATTTAAAAACATATATTTGTAAAGATTTCAAATATATTGTTGTATTCTGCGCAACGCGTGAGTATTCAACTAATACGAACATAAAAGCATATTTAAGGTAAAATTAGACTTTTTTTTTGACGAAACAGCAAATTTAGTCCTTGTGGTTTTGCAAAAAACTTTGGATAGCGTCAAAAAAGTTTTCGACTTGCATGGAATGTCAAAAATCAAAACTTTTCCGTGAATTTGGTCCAAATAAATATCAAAATATTATTTTGCCCTTATTATTTCTTTTTTACATTTTCTTTGTTTATTTTGATTGTTTTAATATAAAAGAAAAAAAAAAGAAACGGGCATGACCATCTGACCACACAACACCCACCCTACATATTTTTTTCTCTCTCTCTCATCAAAAAGACTTCCATGATCAATTCCTCTCCATAGCTATCACATTCCTTTCCCGTCAAGATGCCTTACAACAGTCGTCGACCCTTCTCGCCGATAACTTTCTTACCTCACACTGCCTCCATTCCCCCAATTCTTCTCGAGCCAATGCGTTTACGTTTTGAAGCTTGAAGCCTGTCATCTAGACTGAAACCTCGATAAATTCGACAACGTTGAATCTGATAGCAAATCCGACAGCTTGAAACGTGCTAACTTGTGACAGCCTACTAATCTCTTTCCCTCAGCTGTCGAAATCTTCTAGGGTTCCATTTTAGATTTGGTTTTGTGTTTTCTGAAATTTTTTAGGTTAGCTTAGAATTTTGATTTTCAATTTCCACAATTCGTGTTCGTTATTATGTGGGTGGGTGTAGATTTTTCCGGTGAAGATGTTTTATGGGATCATTCATTATCTCAAAGATTTTCTGAGTTTCAATTTCTGCAATTTGTGTTCAATTACTACAATTCATGTTCATTAATGAGGAATTGAGAGTTTTCTTTATGCATATTGCTGATGAAGAACAAATGGTTGAATTTTATAAACATTGGAATCACCCACTTCATGATGCATATTCTGAAAACCCATGAGCTTTTATGTATTTTTATCAGGTGGAATCCCTAACTGTGTGTGTAGATGTAAGCATGATTGAATTGATTGGTGTTAAACTGAGTTGAGTTTCTATGAGATTAAATTGATGAATGCAAAACCAATGAATTGAAGCTTTTAAGGTAAGTTTTGGTTGGTTTTTTGACATCTCGATTCGTTTGAAGGAAATGTAAAACCGACGTCCCTGGAACATTTGGACATTGATTTTGAATATGTAATGGTGGGTGTTTTTGATCTAGCTGTAGGTTAGAGGTGGCAGTCCCCATTGGGTCTTTTTTTATTTTGTGTGGGTTTTCCGACGAAGAAATGGGGAAGGAGGAATAGTGGGCTGCAATGAAGCTTATACTTAATCTTCACGTGGATTTGTGTTTTGTTGCAGATTTTAAAGAAGAGGAAGAAGAAAATGAGGAGTATATATATATATATATATATATATATATATATATATATAGAGAGAGAGAGAGAGAGAGAGAGAGAGGTCATTTTCTATATTTAATAATAATGAAATATGAAAAAATAAAAATAAAAAATAAATATATTAAGGGTATAATAGTCATTTCAATTTTGAAGTACCACATGAATCTTTTAATTTTGGGTATAATAGTTATTATAAATGGTAAAAATAATGTAAAAAAGGAAATTGTCATTTAAGGTTTCCAAGGACCAAAACCTAGAGGTGGCAAAAATTGACATGACACGAAACCCGACACGAACCCGACACGAAATAAACGGGTTTGGGTAAGATATTTCAACCCGTTTAAATAAACGGGTTGACACGACACGACACGAAAATTAAATGGGTAAGGTTAGGGTTGAGAATTTCAACTCGAATATGACTCGAAAATGACCCGTTTATTTATATGCAAGTATTTTGAATTATTTAAATAAACTAGAGAGATACAAATCAAAACCATAAGTAAAAGAAAAGCCTTCGAATTAAATTGTTTTGTAATGTTGAAATGACTTAGCCATCTAGATCAAGACTTCATTTCAATTTTTCATTCTCTCCCAAACTACCCAGTCTCTTTCACCACTCTCGCATCCTCATGACCTTTGTCATCCGCCTCCCCAACTCCCACTCTTTTAATTTTGTCATCTGAACTTGCTATGACTTCATCTATTCTGCCTCCAAAGTATTAGCTTTTCCTTTCTGCCTACCTAACTCCTACTCTTTCAACATGCTCAATCTTTTAACCTCACATGACACGACATATTTCGAGCTATAGCCCTAACCCGAAACCTGACACGAACTCGACACGAAAATAAATGGGTTGACACGACATGACACGTTAATTAAATGGGTCGGGTTAAGGTCAATCACTTTCAACCCGTTTAGTGTTTCGACACGACACGAACCCGACACGATTACCACCTCTACCAAAACCACATGAATCTTCTAATTTTGGGCCAAACAAGTCCAAGTTTTTTTGGACAGATTTTTTACAAACTACAATTTACGATTTTTTTTTTTGTTTTGTTTTTTTTTTGTTTTTTTGTTTTTTTTTTTTTTGACAAAGTCAGGGTCTTTTGTAACAGTATCCGCTAAGAAATATATAGAAGTTGCAATTCCAAACGACATCGTCTTGTTCTTGACAACGATTAACAATCACACCACCGCACCTGCCTCGTTAGTTCTCCGTTTGGGCGTAGCATCGTCATTCATTGCATCGGCGCCATCCGCTCACTCTCTCCAAAAGTTTTCAACTCTCCCCGTGAATTCTCAGCTAGGTTCAAATCCGGTCCAGAGACATCCCCAATTTGTAGATCTACAATTTTATCCCCTTTATTCGTTAACGAAATCGTTTCACCAAGTCTTAGACACATAAGCCCTAATTCGAACCCATACCACGTCTACTTTTTCATGATTGATTTAGCTCTGATTTCGAGGGATTCTGTTATTGAATCACCGATCTCGATGTGCTGACCTGCATACTGTTCTCATCCAGGATCAATCAGTTCATAGACTTAGGGTTTTTAATTTATTAGAAAGGGGATCAAAAGATTGGCGCCGGTAATTGATGGTCCTCGTCGCGCAGTACGGAGAAGAAGGATTATATTTTACGAAAAGCGATGCCGTTGATGATTATGATGGAAGAAGGTTGTTATGTATGGGCGGTGGGAAGGTGAGCTGTGGTTCAACCGGCGGCACATGTGGTCGGTCCCCTCTCCCTCCACGCCGTCTCTAGTCGCTCCCATCAAGTCCTCCGTTTTCATTGACTCTAACTCTTTCTCCAAAGTATGTAATTTCTTATTCCAGTCATCGCGTATCCATGCTATACATATACATTTAGAAATATTTCAATATCCGTTATTTCCTGTATTGATGCCAAGTGAATTAGCATGACCTTTGCTTGATATTTGCATCTTGGAATTGATTGGAACGTCAATTCATGGCTTGCACAATACCACATCCTTCCTGAGTTTGCTTTTCTCTACGTTCTGTTTTCAGTATGTAGTAAATTTAATATGCCCACTTTATCCAGTTCTGTTTGTTGGGTATGGAAAAAAATTGTTGTTTACGAATTACTTCCCTTTTCAATATGTAGTAAATTTAATATGCCCGCTTTATTCAATTTACATGATATGCTATATAACTCATGCAGTTAGGAGTTAGAAGATTCAATATCTTCTATCTTCGGATGTGATTATCTGTGTTTGTTTATAGAGGTATATTTTGTTACTAAATTCTGCAATGAGTGGTGGAATATATTATATATATATACATCACTTCAAGTTTGCAAGGCTGGCAAGCGGTTCTCAGGGGTTGCAACAAGATTTTTCTATATAATTAGATGCCATTGTGAATGCATAATTATATCTGAGGTCTTTTAAGGAAAGCTAACATACAACATATGTTGAGTTATGAAAATTAACATACTTTCTGAAATCTTGATTCTCTTTCTTATCCATCTTTGATTATTGGTATCTAAATCCGACACATTTGTTTCAGGATGGACGCAAGATTCATGTTGGTGACTGTGCACTGTTCAAACCACCCCATGATTCCCCTCCATTTGTTGGTATAATTCGTAGATTAATTGTAGATAAAGAAGACAATCTAAGCCTCAGTGTGAACTGGCTTTATCGCCCTTCTGACGTGAAGCTTTTAAAAGGTGCCTCTCTTGAAGCAGCACCAAACGAGGTCTTTTACTCCTTTCACCAAGATAAAATACCCGCTGCATCACTACTTCATCCGTGTAAAGTCGCATTCCTCCGTAAAGGTGTTGAACTTCCTTCAAGGGTATCATCATTTGTGTGCAGACGAGTTTATGATGTTGAGACTAAGCGTTTATGGTGGCTAACTGATCAAGATTATCTTAATGTAAGTATTGTAACTAGCTTAGTTTTCTCTTTCCTTTTCGTCTGTTGAAAATCCTCTTGATTGGTTATGTAGTCTTTTTTGACACAGGAACGACAAGAAGTAGTAGATCAGCTTTTAGATAAGACAAGAGTAGAAATGTATGGAGGCCATTCCCCAAAACCTTTGAATGGTCCTGGTCCTGGTCCTGGTCCAAATGGGACACCACAGGCAAAGGGTAAGAAAAGAGAGCAGACTTCAGACTCTGGTCAACTTAGACCAGAAGACATGTTAAAGGCTGAGATTGCCAAAATTACAGATAAAGGAGGGTTGGTGGATTTTGAAGGTGTTGAGAAAATAATACAGCTGATGCAGCCTGAGAGTGGTGACAAGAAAGTTGACCTGGCTTCCAGAATTATGCTTGTTAATGTCATATCAGTTACTGACAGTTTTGATTGCCTTAGTCGGTTTGTTCAGCTTAGGGGTTTGCTTATTTTAGATGAATGGCTTCAAGAGTTCCACAAGGGGAAGATTGGTGATGGTAGTCCTAAAGAGGGTGATTTATCTGTGGAGGAGTTTCTTTTTGCTTTGCTTCGTGCACTTGACAGGTTACCTGTGAATATTCATGCTTTACAGACTTGTAATGTCGGTAAGTCTGTTAATCACTTACGTAGCCATAAAAACCCTGAGATTTTGAAGAAAGCTAAGTGTTTAGTTGACACGTGGAAGAAAAGTGTTGAAGCTGAAATGAATATGATGGAAAGAAAACGAGTCGAGCAAATGAATATCATTGAAACAAGATCCGGTACAAGACGTGCAGGTTCAGGTTCCTGGTCAAACAAGCAAATGATGCCTGAAGTGTCCCCTCATATGGTCAAACAAGTCAAGATTTCTACTTCACAACCTTCTGTAGTGAAAGCTCAGGGTAAGCATAATTCTGGTGAAGCTATCGTCAAGTCGCCGGAATCTCCTAGCCCTACAAAACTTCCAGGACCAGTGCCAGCTGGCATTGCCCCTTCAGATGTAACAGTTAAACAGGAAAAGAGTAGCAGTTGTAGCCCTTCTGCTTCTGGTAAGGGGTCACCATTTAGAGCTACACCTGAAAGGGCAACTGAAGAAAACATACACAACAGCCAGAGACTTATTGTCCGGCTGCCGAACACGGGAAGAAGCCCTGCACACACAGCCAGTGGTGGATCTGTTGAAGATCATCTTGATGGGAGTGGGAGGCCAAAGGGAAAAGGGGAGACACCACCAGACAACAATGTGGTAGCTATGGATACAGATTCATGTAAAGGGAAAGAAGGATTGGTTGGCTGTGATGCTGACGATGGTGAGGCATCCAAAGGTGCCGACTCAGCATCGGGTGGGAGTGGGACACTAAAATCGGGGAAGTCACATGAAGCGTCTTACAGCTCTATAAATGCATTGGTTGAAAGCTGTGCTAAATTTTCTGAAGTTAGCACGTCTTTGCCAGCTGGCAATGATGTTGGAATGAATCTTCTCGCCAGTGTGGCTGCTGGTGAGATGTCTAGGTCTGACGTGGCAACGTCATCGTGTTCCCCTGAAAACAAACAACCTTTACCTGAAGACACTTGCTCTGAAGATAATGGCAATCCCAGACAATCAATTGAAGATGGTTCCCAAGTTGAAGATAATCTTAAAGTCAGCAATGGTCATGATCATGCCAGGTTGGCGGAAAACAGTAATGCTGTACCTGAGGTAGGGCCCGCAGCAGATGCAACAGGTATAAGTGGAAAGGTCAATGATGAACCTTCTTCTAGGTCATCATCAGATAAGCATGAGGATGAAAAGAAATCAATGAAGAAAGAGCATGATGATGTGGATTCTGAATTGCTGAAACCATCTTGTGGCCATGTTAGTTTAGAGCAGTTTGAGGAGAAAGAAAATACGGATCCTGATTCTTCTGTCCTGCTGCAGAGCAGTGAAAATGTAGATAAAAACGAGGCCCAAGAGGGAGATGGGTCGGGCCCATCTGCCTCCACATCAGCACCTCCTGTGTCAGAAAAGACAGTGAAGCTGGATTTTGACTTGAATGAAGTTGTTCCTAGTGATGATATCGAAAGGCATAGCTCATTACATTCTGCAAGTTCTGTTGTGGGGGGAAACCGGGCGGCTTCAGTTACTGTAGCAGCAGCTGCTAAAGGACCTTTTTTATCATCTGAGAATCTGTTAAAAGGCAAGGCTGAGCTTGGGTGGAAGGGATCTGCTGCCACCAGTGCATTTCGTCCAGCTGAGCCTCGAAAGGCCCGTGAGTTTTTGGACTTTGACCTCAATGTTGGTGTTGCTGATGATGTCATTGTCAACAACCAAAACCAAAACCAAAACCAAAACCCACCATCGTCAAAATACATCGATTCCAGGAACAAAGGAGGGCTCGATCTCGATTTAAATGCATGTGAAGAAACTCCCGATGTGGGCCCGTTAATGGTTAGCTTTAGCAGACCACAAATCCCTCCAAGGTCTCTTCTTTCTTCCGGGTTTGATCTCAACAACGGGCCTGGAATTGAAGAAATTGGCAGTGAATCAATGCCACATTCCAGAAATGGTATTCAGTTTTTGCCTAATGTTCCTAGTGTCAGAATGGGGAACATAGATGTGGGAAACTTCCATTCCTGGTTTCCACCAAGTAGTACATACCCAGCAATTCCGATTCCAGCCCAGAGTTATTCCATGCCAGTGCCACAAAGAATGTTGACTCCTATGGCTGCTGCTGCTGCTGCTTCTGGTGGTGGTAGTGGCACTCCGTTTAATCCTGAATTATTTAGAGGGCCCGTGTTATCATCTTCTCCTGCAGTTGCTTTTTCATCCACAGCACCATTCCAATTCCCAGGTTTCCCATTTGAAACTAATTTCTCTATGCCTTCAAATACAGTGTCACCAGCATTTGTGGGGTCATCCGCTGGGCCTGGGCCTGGGCCAATTTGTTTCCCAACAATACCCTCACAACTGGTGGGCCCACTTTCATCATCAAGTTATAGGCCATATGTTATGGGTCTACCTGGTGGATCGAGTAACGATAACAAAAAATGGGGAACCCATGGTCTGGATTTGAACTCGGGTCCTGGAGGTCCGGATGAGACATTGCCTTCAGGATTGAGACAGCTTCCTCTTGGTGATGAACAGTTGAAGATGTTTCAGCAGATGGCGGCCAGTGGCGGCAGCGGTGGTGGTGGTGGAGTCTTTAAGAGGAAAGAGCCTGTTGATGGCTGGGATGGGGATAGTAGGATTAACAGCTATAAACATCCATCATGGCAGTAGAAGATACTAGTTCAATTCCAGCATACCCTCTGGTGAGTTTTGTGTTTAATAGTGACATTCCATAGTTTATTATTGTATACTGAAACCTTGGAATCCGTGATTACTTTTTCAGGTCTTGTGGCCAACCGGAATCGGAGCGTTCTATCCATCTGAGAGAGAGAGAGAGAGAGAGAGAGAGAGAGAGAGAGAGAGAGAGAGACCATCATAGAAGAAGAAGAAGAAGAAGAAGAAGAAGAAGAAGAAGAGGATTTCCAGTGTAGATATTTAACTACTACTCTTTGTTTGTTAGGTTAATTAGTTTTCTTGTCTTTGCAGTTTTATTTCATACTTACTAGTTACTACACAGCCAAAAGTTTGGTATATTGATATTCCATTCACCAATTATGACTACATTTACTTTATTCAAACTTTAAACCCACACAAACACTACACTCGTGTTATTTTTTAAGAAATAAAAACTAGAGTAATATTATATTATATTTATACATACATTACATGCAATGGAACATGAAGATTGAAGAGTGAGTGTGTTACTTAGGAACACGGAAATATAAGGGTACATGATTACGAGGCTTTGGTGAAGCATCCCATACTGAAAAAGCACTTGTTGAGTTCATCCAAGTATCAGTCATCTCTGGATAATGTCGATTCAGCACATCTTTTAAACTCTCTGTTGTGTTAACCCATTCAAGCCCTTTTTTTGTATACACCTCTTCATTGTAATCACTAGTGAAAAATCGGTCTGCCTCAAGTCTCCTACAATTTACTTCCAGAAGTCAGTCCCCTTCTATTTCTATTTGTTTGTTCTCAGTTTTCATTTTAAAATTGTGTGAGGTTTACCTTGATGCCATGGTTATGAATATTATGAAGGCTGTTTCGCTTATGGCGAATCCCTTGATTTTTTTCTCAGCGGCCATTCCTACCAACAGATCGAGTTGTTCAATGTCATCATTGTATACTTCACGCAACGTGTCAATAGCTTCTATATCATCCGTTAGATCGTCCCATTTGGAGATGGGGATCAACATAAGTGATCTACGCAACTCATTGTATCTTGCTACATTCCGTTCCCTGTCCCTATAAACTGCACCACACTTTTCTTAATAAATTAACAACTAAATGCTTGAAAATAGCAACATATTTTTATTATAGCATCCTCCTTTTCTCTTTTAACCATTATTATTAAAACACTTGTTTTTCTCTATTATTATACTTTTAGATATCTATCTTCGTATCTAAGTAAAATTTATCCGACAAATATGTCAAAATGGACTTCATATAACGAGTATGTTTAGTGAAAGAAAAATGATACTCACTCTCGAGTGAGGGTAAGTCAACATGATTGACCCGATCTGTGCCATCGATGTTTTGGGGAACAATATCCCTAAGCCACATTGGATAATTCCATAGCTCAAGTGCACCACATGCTTGATGACCCATTGATACCATTTGTGTTATGAATCCAATTTCTGACAATTCCTTCTCTCCGTTCTTCCCAATTAAATTTATCATGTCAACCCTGTAAATTTACTATAATAACTTAAAAGTTCTATCAGGAATATAATTAGTGTCGATGCGAAAGCTTACTTTTTGCTCAATCTTGGAGACTTATTAGGTCCTGGATTTGAACTCACATCCCTAATGAAAAGCTCATCAGGTAAAAGCGAATGCATTCTGTAAACACTTGTAAACTCTTCCGTTAATGAGTAGGGTACCCCATGGTTATTAGGTTTCTTTAACCCTACAAGACCTCCCAAAACAGCTCCTCCAACATGCCCAACTGTCTCCTTGAATCTCTTCCCCAACACGCCATGCCTGAATTAATCCATTTTCAACATAATTTATGCTAGTAATACTTTAACCTAAAAAATTGATTTAATTACCAATTAATTCTCATTGCGGCAACAAGCGTGTCCGTTTTCAGAAGTTCAATGGTCCAATCAATGGTGTGGATCTTGGCAATCACCGCAGAAGTCACTAGTCTTGCGTGACGATACAAATGTTCATCATCCAAATCATGATATTCTTTCTGATATTTCATAACTATATTGTAAGAGCTAAATATAATTAGTTAAGTTAAAATTAATGGATGCAAGTAGATACCTTTAACGTGTCACAAATAGCATTGTGTTCTTGGATAAAAAGGGCTTGCAAAGTTGAAACACCAATCCAATTGTTACGGATATCACCTGCTATGGCCAATCCATTGTTCTCATGTTGGAGGAGACCATCTTTTGCTATCTTGAGCTTCCCATCTTTGAATGTTCTCACTTGCCACAATTCTCTCAAATTGTTTCCATATATTACACTCCCGTCCCTATATGTATAAGCTGCTTAACTTCATATTATATAAAAAATGTTTATAAACACAAATCTTAACTTCATAATTCTAACTTAATGTCACAAATCTAAAAGAAAAATCATAGTTTTGGAAGAAATAATACCACCAAGGAGTTCTGGTGTTATGATGACCTTTCTTGATATCACTGAGACCAGTATCAAATTCTTTCGTCTTGTAGAATTTGAAGGATTTTAGAGGGCATTGACCAACTACTTCTCTAGGTGCATTAAGTTCAATCTTTGGAAGTAAATATATAGTCAAGTGGTGTTCGTTAGAAGATTATATAGATAGGTTGTCGGCATGAATGAATAAATGTAATCCAATCGAACCTGTTGTGTTGACTCAAGGTGGTTAATCCAATCATGAATCATAAACTGAATCCATGAAGCAGCAATCATGTTGAATTGTTTTCCAGTATCTATAAACTGCTTGCGTGCTAGAAGTTTTGTAGCCACCACCATGGGGTCTGGCTTTAATAGCTACACAAAAATAAGAGTTTAATACTTTTTATATACAATGCATACCATTTTACGAAAAACTAAATCCAAACAACAACAATACCCAAATCACATAACAATGAGGTAAGGTGGAGATTAGATATAGATAATCGTAGCTCCACTCAAAGGTAAATGTTAAAAATAAGGGGATGAAATAAGAGCAAATTAATAATCATGGTTCATGAATATCTTATGAATCATGTATAATTTATCTTTCCTTAATCGATAATTTGACCTTTTGCCTGGGTATAAAAAACTTTGATACAAGATGATCTACAAGATAACACTTCAAGTTCTTACGCACAAAATTGAAGCAACCAAGTAAGTTCGTGTATGAAAGGTTCAAATTTGTAGAAGAGCCAAAATTATGACATATACTTAGTATATCTACCCATTGTACATATAAAATGGATAAGGATAATGAATTGACGGCTTTTTAAAAGCTACAAACAATTATAGACAGTTAGGATCGAACCAGTAAGATTTGACTAGTTCATAAAATCTCACCTTCTAAATTATTCAGAAGGCACACCACCTTTTAGAATCTTTAGAAGGACTCATACATGTCCATCATGGGCTTCAACTTCAGAAATACAAAAGGGTACTTCACTTGATAAGTTTTTAGAAGGTTCACAAACATCTCGATCAAGGATTTCAACTTCTCAAGTCTAGAAGGGAACTTCACTTCATAAGCATTTAGAAGGTTTTGAAAGGTTTCTGAAGGGTAGTTAAAGGTTCTTTGAGGTTTGGAAAATGAATATTTTCCATGGTCAAAATCCATTCCAATATAACACCACAATGGCCTCTTCCCTTTGACCCACATCATTTTTCGTGTTTGGAATCAAACTAGTCTTATATATGTATCTAACTCTTATTAGATCACAGTGCAAGTCTTCTTTGACATGTGTATAAATTCTAATTACATCAACCAGTTAGGTGACACTAAAATGAGCAACAACCCTCCCCCATTTTAGTATAACCCTTGAATTTATACAATAATGTAAACAAAAACGAACTTGTGTATAAATGCAAATGTCGAATTGATCAATTTTTGTAACATCATTTTACGTATCCTAACTACTCTAGAATCGAGGTGTCATAAGGATTGAATTTATCATTAAATACTTAAAGATAACATACACATAAATTTCTACACTTATCTAGTAAATAATGATGACTGAATTGTAAAGTTATATTCTCCTATCCACCGTAAAAATTAAGTCCTATTTTTTTAAAATGTAGTTATACTTCACGATCACATAGATATTTCTTTTAAATCATGTAACCTACAATACATTTTACCAAATGAATTATTAAGAGGACAAAGCATTAGCCTTTACCATTGTAGATTCGAACAGATACATCTAATGATTTATCAAGTGTTCTAATATTTAAGTGTCATATTCCTATAAGAAAAAATTGCAAAAATGGTCCTTGTGGTATGCAAATTTTTGGGGTTTTAGTCCAAACCCCGAATTTTTTGGATTTATGGTCCTTTTGGAGTGGTTTATATGTGAAAATGGTCCATCCGAAAATTAAAATGACTATAATACCCTTGGGGTATTTATTTTTCATTTTTCTTTTATTTCTCTTAAAATTTAATATTTATTTATTTATTTTAACAACTAAAAATATAAAAAGGGGCCTACCTCTCTCTCTCTCTCTCTCTCTCTCTCTCTCTCTCTCTCTCTCTCTCTCTCTCTCGGTCACCGGAAAAACGCAACATCAACCATAGTTGCTGCCTCCCTCGATTCCACCCCCTTTATCCCCTTTATTTCGATGGCAAGACGACCCAACCACCTCCTGATCAGCACCGTTGCCAGCTAAAGCAATACCATATCACAAACAGTCCCTGTCGGCTTTGTTCAATGGTGAAGAAGAACCGTCCACCAATTACCCTCCTGTCTTCTTCTGTTTTCGACCACCGTCCACCACACACACACACACAAAACCCAAAAATCGATTCTCTCTCTCTCTCTCACACACACACACACACACACTCTCACATTGATCTGAAACACCATTTTTCTTCTTCCTCTCTCTCTATCTCTCACAGATCTGAGGTGGTTTTTGAAACCAAACCTGAAATGTTAGTGTTTGTCGACGGTGGTGCCAAAAACCACAAGTTGCCGTCTCTACTAGGGTTTGTAGAGCCGCTGCTGGTTACCGGTGCCGGAGGCTATCATGATGAAGTAGGAGGGTCGAGAGGGTGGTTGCAGCGACTGGAGTTTATCGCGAAAGGAAGTGGCAGTCGGTGGTTCCGACGAGGTCTTTCCTGTCCGAAACTCCTTCACCGGGGTTGTTTCCGATCTAAGATAGAGCAGCAGCGATCAGGGGTGCTGAGGAGGTTGTCATCGACAGAAGAGGGGCCGAGGAGGGCTGGCGATGTCTGTGAAGGAGGGTTTTGTGACGAGTAAGAAGAATAGAAAGAGGGAGGAGATACCTGGGGCTATCTTGGCCTCGTCGGAGATAAACACGCACATACGAGAGAGAGAGAAAGAGAGAGAGAGAGAGAGAGAGAGAGAGAGAAAGAAGAGAAAGGGGTCTAATTTAATAATTTATTTTCTTTTTCATTTAAATTAAATAGAAAAAACATAAAAAAAATCAGAAGGGTATTACAGTCATTTTAGTTTACCGAGGGACCAAAAACGCAACGAAACTACCTCAAAAGGGCCACCAATCCAAAAAAGTCGTGGTTTGGACTAAAACCCCAAAAAATGCATACCACAGGGACCATTTTTGCAATTTTGTCTTCCTATAATGAATTCAGGTTCTAATGTTGCCAAGGGTTTATGTTGATTTTAACCCCATCTAAAATAACAAACTTGTGGACTAATTCATTTTTTATACATTTAGTGAAATGGTTTGCCAATTTCTGATGCGTCTCAACACATTTAGCAATATCAGAACATTCGTAACTAACTTCCTAACCATGCTGTGTCTAACACCCAAATGTTTAAACTTGATATTTTATACTTGTATATATGTATTAACCAAATTAGGAAAACTATCATAATGAAAAAGATTCGTGAAATCAATTTAGGACATAACAAAATTACATATACTAAACTTCTTAATAATAATACCTATTTTACGATAGTTGGCAATGCAACAAATTTGAATTCCATTGTTGATGTTTTTATGCAAGTTTCTGTCTTGGAGTTAAAAGCCCAAGAAATGGCACCTCGCCTAAGATAACTCACACCGTACTCCATGGTTCCTTTTTATATTTTCAAATATTCTTTAAGTTTCTCACTAATGTTGAATACTCAAATTGCTTACACAAACTACATAATTTCCATAGGGATTAAGCAATATAAGGTGTGGTGCTTGTCATTGACATATATCAAACACCAAATAACCCATATCAACTTAGTTATATTTTGACCATGCTAATTATGCATTAGTTTTACACTCAGATCTATAGAGTGATTACGAGACAACAATCACCATAGCTGAATTTATTCGAAATTTACTTAATATAATAATGGCCCCTTTGATTTGATGTTTAATACTTATCCCAATGTTTACACACACCTTCTACATTTACTTTATGTAAAATTTTTGTGACAAAAAATTGTTAGTTTGATCAACATAACAAAAATAACATGTTTTTAACATACATGCAAACAATCATTCATGCACAACAAACATCAATTTTTTTTATTCTTTATTTTTTTTATGAAAACATTGATTAGATTGGTTTGAAGCAATGCCACTTTCATGACTTATCAAATATCTATTTAGATTTTAGGATGTTGCTCCAAACACCGAAAAGTCATTATTCGTCAACCCTATTTGTCGATATGCTAGCATGACCAACACAAGGGGCAGACCCCACTAAGGGCACATGTTTTTTTAACCTACATCATTTGTAATTTTGGGATCAAACTAGCCTTATACAAATTTACACCATTTGACTTATACAACATCATACACTTGAATATTTTCTATTTACATCAAATGGTCATATGACATCAAATTCTCTAAAAATAGAGAAAATACAAGCAATAGAGCTGAAAGAAATAAGAGGAAAAATAGTTAAGTAAATAGTGTATATAACACACATAAATTAAAAAAAGAGACTATGACCCACACTACTCCATTTTCCTGATTTTAAGCATCCACACACTCATATACAAGGTTATTTCCATGGAAGGAGCAAAATCCTTCTTTCCTAACCTACACTATCTTTCCACTTCCTTCACATGCGTCCTATCTTCCTCACACAATTAATTGTAACCATCTCCATTCGTATAACCATAGTAATTGGTTGCTTCTTTTATACATGTTTGAACAACCACAATCTTTCTTCCTTCAATTTTTAGATGATCAATGCCACTTCTAACCTATTAATAATGTTCAACCATAAATATATTACAAAGTTTATTTCTAAAACTCCCATCTTCCTCACAAATTCATTCCCAATAAGACAACATTATGATCTATATACAATTGTTGTCCAAACTACCATCTTATACATCTACCCTTTAGTTCATGGGAGCTTTTAGTCATATAAAACTCGTATTGTCACCCTCCACTTTAACTAACTTGCCTTTCATAATAGGAAACATATTTTTCAACACTATTTTCCGTATGGATCATAGATCCTAAATACACCCTTTAGGTGCAGTAGTTGCTCTCCGATGCATAGTTATATACTCCTCCATTATTATAATCCCTACCGAATCTATACCAAAGGTATTTCATCTTGACGCTTTTGACTTGTAACACATTCTCTTTCAACGTCCTACTCTAGGTATCTAATCTAACGTTTAGTAGGATCATAGTCTTTTGCCATCAACACAATATCTTTAGAAAAATCATACACTTTTTGGTACCCTTCCTTATATAGAACACTACATATAATCCAAAATCAAAGCAAAGATGTATGTGCTAAAAGCTAATATCTAATGCAACCTAATTTCCATTATATCACCGGTTGGAGTTTAGGCACATATGGT